GGCGTCAGTGGAGCAAGCCTGGCGGGCGGTGTTCCAGAAGCTCCCAGCCTCCTCGCGTGCCTGGCGGCCAATCACCTTCAAAGTGCCCCCTGTAATCCCCGTGGCTTTCGCCGCGAAGATTGCGGCAGAATGCGCGAAGAGATGCGAATGCGTTCTTGCCGCGGCACATGGCGCCCTTTTTGTTGAGGCAGCGGCGGCCAGGGCTAGCCGCCGTGCGTTGGCGACGAGAAAAAGAAACGCTCGCCCTCTCCACCTGGTAGGGCGGTAGAGCCCACCTCCCCCCTTCGCCCCCCCGCCGTGCTCCTCCTTCACCACATGTTCATCATTGACCCCTTTCGCCCCCGGATGCGGCAGCGACGAGGGCGCGCGAAGTGGGGCGATTAGAACGGCGTCGCGGGCCCACCGACCCGTAGATGAGCAGCAAAATCAGCGCGGCTACGTTTGTTTGGGGGCCCAGGGGCCGAGGTTTGCACGACGCGCATTGTCTGGGCAAGTTTAGTTGCAGTGCCGCGCCACCTGGAGCGACCGCAGGGCGCTCCAAGACAGTTGCGGCGGCGGGCGCAGCCTTCAAGCCCTTGCGGGCTCCGCCGCGGCCCCCGCCACCTCCCTTGCCGCGGGCCTTGCCGCGGCCCCTGCCGCGGCCGCCGGCGGCGCCTGCGCCGAGCGTTGGAGCGCAGAGTCGCGTTCGAGAAAAAGACAAAGCCTGACTTGCACGGGCGGGGGGCAAGTTGATACCTCACTGACCGGCACAACGCTAAGCGGCGATTCCACGCGACAAGCATTTCAAGTGCGCATCGGCGCTGGTCGATTGGGGGGTCTCTTCGCAGCCCGTTCCGCTTCGCGGCTTCGCCGCGCGAGGAGCTGTGGCGCAGCGAGGATGTTTCAGGCAGGGGCGGCCATGAAACACCGATGCCAGCATCTCGCGCTATCCAAGCAATCGCTTCCATCGCCATTCGGCCACACTCGTTATATTTAACATCGGTTGTAGCGCACGCGTGCTCTGTGGATCTGGCCCGCGTGGCTGTCTAGCACCCCCCCCCCCATCACGCGCCGGCGCTGCAGCCGCGCCCCTCAAGTGGCTGATCCGCAGGGGCGGGCCCTCGAGCATCGCCGTCTCAATGATCCGAGGCGAAAGCTGCCCCGCGCATCAATCAGCCTCTCCAGCGGTGTTAGAGGAGGTCGCCGTGGATGGAGTACCCGACGGGCGCGCCCGACAGTCTGTCAGGAAGCCAGAGATGCAGAGGCCCCTTATGGCCCCCGGATGCAAACTGCGCTTCTCGATAAGTCAGAAGGAACAGACAATCTTAAGATGGATGTGATCTATCCTTTGGCTATGCCGCACTATGCCGTAAGCCAGTGCTCTCCATTTGCCGGTCGCATAAAGCGGAAGCTCGCCGAGAAGGCATCTTTTGCGGATGCATGTCGGTCGCTTGTGATGCACTCAGACGAAGTGACTCCAGGGAATGCGCTGCCCCAGTAGCATCCCGCAAGAACCGAGCGGTTTACTTTATCTTCCTCGTGCTGGGCCCAGAGGGTCTGCGCCGCGAGAATTCGCGGTTCTGCGTCGCCGTGAGGCGCAGCAGTCACGTCAACTCATGTGCCGGCGCATTGGCCCAGGTGATCGGGGAGCTCCTGAAGCTACCGTTCCCCCTAGCGGCACCCATTTGACGAAGACTGGCGCGCTGCTACCGCGTGGCCTTGACGACGCTGGTTGCAGCTATTTTCTCTGCGAAGCTGTAAGTGATTATCCAGGATTGGGGCGCGCACGAGCAGATGTGGCATGTCAGAGGGGATGGCGCCGCGGCGTTTTGCAGCCTGTGCTTGGGTTTGGTCGAGCGCTCTTCCGCTTTGCGCGAGCGCGACGCGCCTGGCCTGCCGACGACCGACGTCATTGATGGCGCCGGCTTGACATTCGCAACGAGCGGGCAGATGAAGGCGACAGTCAGAAGTGTGCACGCAAGTCGCGGCACAAGGAGTCCTGACGCATTCGCTGAACACCAGTAAGCTACCGGATATACCTACCAGCCTTTCAGCTTACTGTGCGATATGGAGCTGGGCGATATCATAGACCCAGCCATTCAGTTCATGCACGACTGTGTGCACGGTTTGTTGAGCAATGGTGTATTCAATTTTGTGTTGCACATTATGTGGAGTCATTGTTCAGCGTGCGCCGCGAGATATGCCTTGGTTGGAGAATATCTGAAAGAATGGAGGCGGCCCGCCAGCCTTGGGCCGACCAGCAATTTGAGCGACATTTTCAATGCAAAGCGCAGGAAGGGCAATGTAGACGGCGTCCATTTTCGTTGTCAGACGAGCGAATGTTGAAGCATTTATGCTGTTGTCTCACATTTTGCCAGCAGGGTCCTGCTTGCAGCTTGCCCCAACGAGCGCGAAGCATCTATTGCCATCGCTGACGTGATTGATATGTTGCAGTCGGTGCCTCACGGCTGCGTGACTGGAGCAACGCTCAGGCGTGTTGTAAACAAGTTTTTTTTTTGTTTCTCTCTCTCTCTCGTGGTTATCGCCTTCGATTGTGGCGTGTGGCCGAACGCGCACTAGATGCTCCATTATGCTACCCACATAGATCACCATGGAACTCTTGTGAGCTGCTCGGTACACGAGAGAAAATACGAGTTGATCCGTATTTGCGCAAGATAATTTCACATCATGTCTGGGTAGTTTTGCTCTGAAGGAGGTATTGTGCGACCAGGTTGCTATATTCAGCGACGATGCCACTTTCAGTTTCAATCGAATCGGGCTTGTGGGTGGCAGAGTGGCTTCAGCCAATCTGACCGCCTCAGTGGCTGCAATTTTCGGCGAGGGTTGCTCGGTCAGGGTGTCTTGCGTCTCGAGACATTCAACGTTTGGGACCAGCGCACAGAAGGACTGTGTTCTCGTGCGGCAGGGCGGCTGCTTTGTCGCAGCCTCCGTGGTCTGCCACATGGAAATCGATTCTGCCCCCCTCACGATCGTTCCCGCTTGGGGTTTCAAGCGTTTCGGTCAGCATCGCAAATATGCTGTTTGGGACTGCAGCAATCCCCGTAGATGTTTTGTGCGCGCGTTCGGGGTACTGTCAGCACGCGTGTACAGTAGGACTGGCAATGCTGTGTGTACGAAGGTCCCGTACCACCTGATGCAACACGAAACTTGTTTTTCAGGCTTGCCGCCCCAAACTTTCAGGGGGGCCAGCTTCGCGCGCAACGGTATAGCACAAACTATAGCGTTTGTGTGGCAGCCGAACGGCTGTGGCAATCGCCTGCGGTGTCTGAGCGACAGCAGCCGGCCTCAAGATTTCACGTCCCAGGGTCAGCTGTGCAGCCCACTGGGTCAGCTTCAAATACAGTGGATACTCTACAATAGGGGTCAGCCGAAAGGTTTTGGTAACGCGTTGCGGTGTATCGGCTCGCGCATCTGGGCGATGATACTGCAGCCGACCGACAGAATCACATGTTCGACCACTCATTTGTCTCGCCCGTTTTCTGAATATGCAGCATGGACGTATCAAACGTCCCAACCGTCTTGTGATGTTAGGCCCTCTGTTTGCATAGACGGTGCCGCGTGTTTGCTTCTGCTCATCCTCTCTTCCTTCCCCCCCTACTCCTCGCCCATGCGTCGGCCATCTGCGTGGCAACAATTCAGACGCACTTCGCGCAAGTTTCGTGACCGGGCGACCCCCCTTTCCCCGCCCCCCCCCCCTCCCCCCACCCCCCCGTCCCCCCACCCAACCCCCCACCCAGCCGAAGGCCCAAGTGCTTGCATTCGCATGCGCCCACCGCACTCATGTCGGCACACCCCTCGCACGTTTCGTAGCCATCTTGGAAGTTCCACCGACGGCCAAAGTCCTTGCGGTCGCAGGCGCCTATACCCATGTCGGCACATCCCGTCGCTAATTTCGGGGCTACATAAGGGGACCCCGCAAAAGCCCCCAGCGGCAGCGCTCGCATGCGCCAGTTCGGCACACCCATTGCACGCTTCGTGTCCCCATGTGAGCTTCACCGAAGAAGACGCCGGTTGCGTGTGGATGGGGCGCACACGTGTAATTCGTCTCACATCTCGCACGCTGAAGTTCCACCAAGGTTGCACAGTGGCTGTGTTCGCGTGCGCCCACCGAACCCATGTCGGCAACCCCCCATGCAGGGAACCCCACCGAAGGCCCATGGGAACCCCACCGAATGCCCAAATGGTGGCGTTCGCATGCGCTCACCGCGCCAACGTTCTGCACCACTTATGGGAGCTCCACCGAAGGCACCGCTGGATGCGTTCGCATGCGCCGCCCATTTCGGCACAACGCTCACACGCTTCCTGGCAACATGTAGGCACGAGGCTCGAGATCTCTCGAGTCAGCCTTGTGCCGAGCGCTTCCTGTCAAGTTGTATAGCCACGAGCCTCGAGAGCTCTCGAGTCAGCCGTGTGCCGAGCGCCTGCTGGCAAGTTGTAAAGCCACGAGCCTCGAGATCTCTCGAGTCAGTCTTGTGCCGAGCGTTTGCTGGCAAAAAGCATTGTCACGATCCTCGAGATCTCTCCTGTCAGCCTTGTGCGGAGCGCCCAGGATCACCATCATCATCATCATCATCATCATCATCATCATCATCATCATCATCATCATCATCATCATTGTCATCATTGTCATCATTGTCATCATCATCATCATCATCATCATCATCATCATCATCATCATCATCATCATCATCATCATCATAACTGATCTTCCCCGGGAAATGCTTTTATTATTCCCGCCAGAACCCCGAACTTTATGATCTCCTGGGGATTGGTATCGCCTGCGCACGGTCATTTGCGACCAAGAATTATTTGGCCAAACTTGTGGATGCAAGACGAGAGGCCATCCATCCTCGATATTGCTGCGTCTGAATAATTCCTCGGGTGTGTATCCCAGAGTTTTCCACCCTTATGGATTGGCCAAACTGTTCGGGCGGAGCGCCAGAATTGGGGGCGAGAAATCTCCTGCGAGTGTGGGCCTTTGAGCGCCGCGGGGCGGGCAGGAATTTCCGGCTCCGGAAGCGCCTGGACGTGCTCCCTGGCGCTGGGGTGCCTGGCCGTTTAGCGGATGGCGGGATGGAAGTGCGTTGTTCGGGATGAAATTTCCGGGAGGTTGAATTCTGAATTGGCGTTGGTTTGTCCCTAGTTGGAAATTTACCGGATCTCGTTTGATGTCGATTATTCTTGCCTAGTCCTTTCTTTGTGCCTCTTAACCGGGCTTAGCTCCTGGCTATATCTGGTCCCAATCTGGCTCAGCAGCCCCTGTTCGGGGGCCCCCGAACGGTGCGGTGACCACACCGTGTGGTGAGGGGATTCGGCGTCGGGGTCACCGCACGGTTTTAGGACTCGGGTCGTTCTCCGAGGACGTCTGGGGCAACTGGGGTATCCGAGGTCCCAAAACCGTGCGCTGACGGACCGTGCGGTGAGGTCTTGGGGGACTTCGAAGTCACCGCACGGTCTGTCGCCACACCGTTCCGGGACTCCAAGCGTCTTTCTGGTGAAGACCTTTCGGGGGCGGAAAAGAGGGGGGTGATGACTAGGCGGGGGTGGATCTCGTGGGCCATGATATTTCCCCAGATTTCCTGGCGCCTCTTCTCATTCCATGACGTTCATGGCCCCCCCCCGCTGGGCCGCGCACATGCCGCCGCTCATGATCGGAGGGCACCAACTATACACCAACACCGATCCTGGCCCAGGATCACCCTGGGCCCAGGATCGGTGTATATGCCTTCTTGCGCAAGGCAGGAGGGCGTATACACCGATCCTGGGCCCAGGGTGATCCTGGCCAGGATCGGTGTTGGTGTATAGTTGGTGCCTTCCTATGCTGTGCACCCCCCCCCTCCTGGACCCCCCCCTCCTTGGCCGCTCCCGAGCCCTCCTTGGCGTTGCCTCCCGACGTCCTCTCGGGGGCCGAGGGTCGGCGGGATTCCGGGAGGCCCACGGAGAGGCGCCTCGGCGGAGGGGCCCCGCCGCAGCGCGAGCTCCCGGGGAGGAGGAGGGAGGAGGAGGAGGAGGAGGAGGAGGAGGGAGGAGGAGGGAGGAGGAGGAGGAGGAGGAGGAGGGAGGAGGAGGAGGAGGGCCCCGTTCCCCGTTCCCCGCTGGCACCCGCGCCCCACGCGGGGCCGCCCCAGCGGCGGCGCCCCCCCGCGGACGGGCAGGCGCCCCACGGCCCGCCCCGCCCGGGCTCGTTTCGACTCCTCCGATTCGATGCGGTTCGATCTCGACGGCCTCCGATCCCGATTCGATTTCGACTCCTGTTCCTGTTTTCGGGTTCCTGTTTTTCGATCCCGATTCGAGTCCGATTTCGGGTTCCTGTTTTTCTCATGGGAGGCAGACTAGCCTGCCGATTTCTGCCGATTCGACTTTCCCCGACTCGGCTGCCGATTTCCGCCGATCCGACTCATGTCGACTTCCGATCCGACTTGTCGATTCGATTTTGGGCTCTCCTGGCCCCGCGTTGCATGTCCCCATCCCTATGTTTCGGGGGCGGCCAAGAGAGGAGTGATGTCTAGGGGGGGGGATATCATGGCGGAGGCCATGATGTCTCCCCAGATTTCATGGCGCCTTTTCTTGTTTCATTGCGTCCCTGGCCCCCCCTGGGCCGCGCACATGCCGCCGGCCATGATTTGCGCCCCCCCCTCTTGGACGCCCCCCTCCTTGGTCGCTCCTGAATGTTTGGCATCACCTTACTTCGGTGCCGACCTTGGTGATTCCCTCAGTTTCCCAGGGCACATCCGTAAGACTGACGAACGATCAACACGCACCCATACCCATAGGAGGGGCGGAATGAGCTATGGGTGCGTGTTGTCTGATGGGGGTCCCCGCTCGAACGGGAGCCTCCGCAGGGTTCCGACAAACCCTCACCCATACCCACAGCCAGTCCTTCTCCCTCCGACCTCCTTATAGATATGGGTGTGCGTTGTTCGTTCGTCACTGTCATTGCCTTGGGGTTGTCCTTCTTAGGGCGAGGGACAAGTTCGAGGCCGGTCCCGACGGCCAGCTCGAGGTCCACGCCCCCAGCCAGTCCGACGGTCAGCCCCATGGCCAGCCCCCCTCCCTTCTCGAGTCGCCGCGAGTGGCAGGCAGCCCCCCTTCGGCCACGCGCAGAGGGGGGTGGAGGGAGGGGGGAGGGCTTCTCAGAAGCACCCCTGCTTCTTAGAAGGCTCGGGCCTTATCTATAGGTGTACGGCTGGCGCCTTCTGAGAAGCAGCCTCCTTCTAAGAAGCCCTCCCCCCTCTCTCCACCCCCTTGCGCGCGCCGCCAGACGAACGGGGGGAATTGGGAAAGGGGGGGTTAAGAAATCTGCTGCATGCAGCTGGTTTCGGCCTCGCCGAGGGGCCCATTCCTCGATACATAGCCGCCTCCGGCGCCGGGAGGCGCCGGGCAAATCAGCTACGTGGGCTGATTCTCAACCCCCCCCTTTTGCTATCCCCCCCTTTCGCCCGACCTGGCACCAGGTGGCCGCTTCCCCCGAGCTGGTGGCACTCCGCTCTGGGCGCGCCCTCCAGAGTCAGGCAGTGGCGAAGCGTCCGGGCTCGCCTATAGAGGCCCGCGAAAGAAGGTTCTCAGAACCTCTGTGTGGTCCGCGCGAGATGTTCTCAGGACATTGCTGCCTGGGACTGTCTTGTCTTGTCACATCGGGTATTTGTTCCAAGAACATGGCTTTGGTTCTAAGAACATGCTTGGGTTCTAAGAGAATTGCGTGGTAGGCCTACAGGAGTGCCGGGAGTGTCGGTCCTTGCTCAACAGAGAGCGCCCAGGGCGGAGAGGGGTGTTGGGAGCAGAGTTCTGTGGAGTCCTGGCGGTGCTGGCTCCTTTTGTTCTCACTTCCAGCACCGGGGAGGCGAGGGTCCCTCTACAGGGGGAATCTTCAAAAATATTAGAAAAATTGTCAGGGGACGATTGTTTGATTAGTTTTGGAGTATTTTTGGAGTATGTTCTATTTGTCGCCCAAAATCCCCCTGTAGGAGGACATGCCCGACCTAATTCCAGTACCGGGGAGGCGAGGGTCCCTGGATCGATGGTCCTCAGGGCGCGTGTTGGCCCAGCGTGTATTTACCCCGTGTAGCGTTAAGTCGGGCCTGTCCCTCTACAGGAGAAAGATTCAAACATAATCCAAACATAGTCTGGGCACGATGTTTTTACTATTTTTGAAAATTTTGGGACATTTTGTGACTGTTCGTTATTTGTCGTCCAAAATCCCCCTGTAGGAGGACATGCCCGACCTAATTCTAGTACCGGGGAGGAGAGGGTCCTTGGATCGATGGTCCTCAGGGCGCGTGTTGGCCCAGCGTGTATTTAACCCCGCTTAGCGCCAGCGATGCCACTCGGCATGGGTCCTTGCTGTGTGTGTGCGCTTCGTCTACTCCCCGCCCTCCCCGCCAACCATGCCTGGATGGTTATGGTTGTTGCCGCGGTCTCTGAGTGTTCGGCCGGGCTGCGACGCGCGCTGCCCCCCCCAGGGCCGCAGGGCTTGGGCGTCGAATTTACGGGATTCCTTCGGACGGCGTTCGGACTGCATGACGCTGTGTACGGTTTCACAGAGGAGTCGAGTTCCGAGTCAAATTCATGGTTGAAATCCGGACCTCGTCCCACAAGGTTGTGTCCTGAGTTCTCGGCCCCGACAATCTGCAGACAGATCCATTTTTCGTTTTTCGTGACGCGTCGTCGAATCGTGCTTCCCTCAGACAATTCTGCTCTGAATTCCCCCCCGCTGCGGCCCCGGCCCAAGGAAGGCGCCTCTTGATTCGTGGGTGCCGCTCGCCAGAGGGACTTACCCTCCCGTAGTCCCTTCCCTCCGCCCGCTCCCCTGGCAACCCACCTTGAGGACCCTCGAAGCACGGCCTCTCTGGGAGAGAGTCTGCCGAGTTTCGGCTTGCCTCGCGAGCAGCCCGAAGAGATGTGCCACCCATCTCGGGCGGAATTCTCGACTTGCGATTGCTGTCATGACTGCATCTGGCAATTGTCTTCTAATCTGCCTTGCCGGGGGTCTGGGCGCAGTGGGAGGGAGGACGGGAGAGGGGCAGGAAGGAGAGAGGGGAGGGACGGGAGGCATACCGATTCTTGATCTTGGTCCTGCCTCTGCTGATCATCCCTTCGTGCCTCCTGCTGCTTCTCCTCAACCACTCTTTTTTTGTTACCCCTCCGGGCCCCGCCCCTCCTGCCTACCCCGCTGGCCTTCCTACTCCTCAGGAGGGAAAACATACACAGGCACACTTAGTCGTCGACTCCACGTGAAGTTTGGAAAATAGGGGAAGTGGGGCAAAAGACTAAAGTCCAGACAATTTGAGGAATCCTGGGCTTCGTGAATATTGCAAAGGCCTTACGGATGGTGCCGCCGACCCTGAAGACGACGAAGATGAAAACGAGCGGGGGGGGGGGAGGGGAAGGGTGGAGGAGGCGGATGAGGGAGGAGGACGAGGGGGAGGGATGAGGGGGGGGGGGGGGGGAAGGATGAGGAGGAGCAGGAGGAGGAGGAGGAGGAGGAGGAGGCAGAGGTAGAGGAGGAGCAGGAGGAGGGGGAGGAGGAGGCAGAGGCAGGGGAGGAGCAGGAGGAGGAGCCAGAAAGGTCGAACCCCCCCCCCCCCCCTCCTCCAGCGCATATACAGAGGGCCCCTCTGCAAAAGCCGCAAACGGGGAATGGTATTCTGACCCCCCCCGGGACCCTCCCACCCACCCCCCGCGGCGGGGAAGAGATCAAAGGGAATAGGCTTCCTTTCGACCCAATGACAACGTTGTTAATTTCGTTGTGGCTGGGTTGCTTCATTTCGCTTCGGCTGGCACGCTTGAGGACGAGGGCCCAGGGAAAGAGGAGGGGAGCGGCGACGGACCCAGAAAAGAAGACGACGAGTACGTACGCGGACAACAACCACGACGAACAACCCATTCCACACGCCGACGGGGTCGGCGGATTCATGTGTGTGTGTGTGTGTCCATGGGCCACTTCCTCTTCCCCCTGCTGCTGGGTCTGTGCCCTTCGCTGATTCAGTCAGGTGCCATTCGACCCCTACGAGCTGAGATGGATCCAGGATTGCTGGCTCGTGATAATCTCCTCTGTTCGGGCATAATCATGCTTTCGCTTCGCCCATTGTCATTCAGCTCTGGGCTGCGATCTCAGCTGCAATTACCTTCGATGGCGTCTCTCCGCGTCCCAGTGTGGAGCATGTAGCGGCAAGGTGGAGCAACGGACGCACGTGTCCATGCTCGGAATATAGATGGGATATGCGTTGAATTAGCGGTACGTGGGGGAATGCGGAGGATGGGCGTAACAGTGTGATGACGGGTTGCATACACATATCCAGTTGGCGATTGCGGTGTCGGGGGTCTGGTCGACCCTGCTCTACCACCCTACTGGAGCCCCGGGAGCGTCCATAAAAATGTAGAACAGTGTCTGGCCGCCCGAGAGCTTTGGAGGCCACAGAAGCCAAATTCGCCAAACCAAAGTGATTGATGCAAGATATCTCCACGAGAGCCCCGTAGGGCAGAAGAGGTGCAAACATGATCCCGAATAGAACCCCAGTCCGCGCTTTCAAACAAGTTGTGAAAGCATAAAAGATAGCCCAAGCCGGCCGAATGAGCGCGACGGACACAAGCAGCTCTAAGAATGTTTGGAGTCGGCCCAGACGGATCTCAGATGGCCAGAGATGGCACCCAGACGACCCAAGAGTCCCCACTGCCAGTTTTTCTTCCTCTGTTTTCCCTCCTATCGCTGGTATGGGTTAGACGTTAGACTTCACCCCAGGACCCGCGGGGCTTCAGCGGAACGTCCAATGCCCTTGTGCGCTCCCTCCAATTCACTCCACCATCCTCCCCCCTCATCGTTCCCTCTCTTCCAACCAACCTTGCACCTAGGGAGTATGTGCAGCCAAGGATCGCAATGCGTGTGTGTGTGTGTGTGTGTGTGTGTGTGCGTGTGTGTGTGCGTGTATGTGTGTCGGCACATCCTGTCCCAGTGTTCGGTGCGAGAGTTTTGGTTTCGCACCCGTGGGGTCATGACGTCGCCCCAGTTTGGTCCAGAGCCTGAGCGCGCTCGAAGCGCGCGCGTAGGTCCAGCGTTCAGGTGTGTGTACCGTCTGCTTAGGCGTATGTCGTCGTGCAGTTGCGCGCGCAGAATCAGATACCAGTTTGTGGCGTGGCTGTCCTGATGAGGTTGCGAGCATGAAGTCGCGTCGCGATCACGATGTGGATCATGAGAGCTCTCCAGAAACACCATTGGAGTAGGTCGGCGTTGACGCCGATGCTGATGAGCAGCATCAGCGGTTCGAGAAGGAGGATGAAGAGTAGCAGACACGCAGGAGCACGACGGGTGTTGTAAAGTAGCTTGCGACGCGTCGTCTGATCACGATTGCGGTAAGTTGATTGACCACGCCCGACCAGTAGCAGGAGCACGATGCGGAGGTCGGGGGGCGGCCGTTCCTTCTTCTCTCTTCGCTTCTCGCTACTCCGCCCTCTCCCCAGCCCTCGCTCCTCGTCCCCCTCGCTCCTCGCTCCTCTCCGCCTCTTCTTTGCCATCCTCGCCTCCCCGTCCTGCCCCTTCTCGGCGCGGTCCTCGTCGGCCGCGCCGCTTCTCCGCGTCCGCCTCCCTCATCATCGTGTCCCCGTCTTCCCCCCCATCTCCACGCTTCTCTGAGCTTCCCGCCGACCTACTCCTCCTCCTCCTCCGACCTCCTCCTCCTCCTCTGCTATCCTCCTCGCGGTCCTCCTTCTCCATCCCTTTCTCCTTGCACACGGCCCCCTCCGTGCCGCACCCCCAGACTCGTTGGCACGGCGGGCCGAGCGTTTCGCCTGACATTTCCTCGCAAGGAGTGCTCCCGAAGCCGGATGGCATCGCCACCCACCAAACCATCCCGACCCAGCCCGAAGGCCTCAATTTGCCCTCCATTTTCCAGGGGGGGGGGTCGGGGAACATTGAAAAAAAAACATGGAACCCGTGCCCCCCCCCAAGCCGAACTTCGGGTCCCATTCGGGCCTTCGGGTTGGGTTGGGGTGGTCTGGTAGGTAGTCATGGAAGGCGGGTCGGGTTCAAAAGAGAGTTCTCTGTTTAGCGCCGCGCACATCCGTCGTGCAAGTTCACAGAAGGTTCATTGATGGAGTGCTGGCAGTGTTCAAAATGTGGCTCACGCATTAGAGCAGTTTCGCGCATGGGGGGCGGTTTTTTATTGTGAAAATGTGGTGTTCGCCTTAGCGCCGCGCACCAGTGTCTTGAAACGTTCAACAGTTTCACGGGTGGAGGGCTGGTGGTTTTCAAAATGTGGTTCTCGCCCCAGCGCCGCGCGCATTCGTCGCAAACGCTTGCAGCATGTTCAAGGATTTGCGCAGCCGAAGCCCCAGGAACAGTGCTCTGGCGCGGTGTAGGACGCGACAGTCATGTAGGATTCGCGTCGTGGAAGTCCCAGGAAGGTGCTCTGGCACCGTCTGGGACGGTCAGGGCGCAGTAGTGACGTTGATCCGCGGCGTTGCAGTCCCAGGAACGATGCTTCGGCGCGACTGGAGATCCTCAGACGGCTGTTTTCTAATGGGCGATCTCCCGCAATGTGAATTCTGTAGGGCCGTTTGAAGAGGGAATTTGGAGGGACGGTGTATTGCAGCATCGTTGATGCGTTTTTGGTTTACGTTGGTCCCCTTCCTTCTCCTCCCCTTCTCCTCTTCGCCTCCCTCTCGTGCCTCTCTTCTTCGCGCTCCTGATTCATCCCGCTCCCACGTCCCTCTTCTCCTCCTCCGTTTCCTGCTTCTCCTGCCAGCTGCCCCAACGTACGCTCGGCGCCGCCGCGTCCGACTTCTCCGCCCGTTGCGGCAGTAGTTCGTGCAAGATGGACACGTGGTGGCCCCAGGGCCCGAGTCTGCGCGCGAAACCGCGCGGCGCGACGAGCACGCACCGCCCAGAGCTCGGGGCCGCCTTCCCCTGCCCCATCGCACCTCCCCCTCCGCCTGCGCCAATCTTGCTCTGCCCCCCCACCTGCCCCCCCCTCGCGTTGCCCCAGACCAAGAGGCCAATCATCGGCCCCTGGATCTTTCCCGAGGTGCGCTCTGCCCAGCGTGTCGAGGCGGTTCCAGCCGTGGCCACGACGGCGCCCCAGGACGATTCGTCTCTCCAGACAGCACGCAAGTACCGGGCCTCGAACCTCGAACCTCCGAAGCTCCACCTCTGTCTGCTCCACTCTCGTCCCTCCACAAATGGTTCGTCTTGTTCCTCCTCCTCCTCCTCCTCCTCCTTCCCTCCTCCTCCTCCTCCTCCTCCTCCTCCTCCTCCTCCTTCCCTCCTCCTCCTCCTCCCCCTTCCTTCTCCCCCCACCTCCGAAGCTCAGCTCTCCCCCCCGAGGAGGCCTGGCTAGACGCGGGGGAGGTCGCCTCTCCCTCCTCCTCCTCCTCCTCCTCCTCCTCCTCCTCCTCCTCCTCCTCCTCCTCCTCCTCCCCTCCTCCTCCCCGCCCTCGCGCCCTCCCCGCCCCCCTCGCCCCTCCGTCCCCCCCCCTCTCCCCTAGGAGATAAGGTGTTACTGCGGCCCGTTGGTTGTCAGTGCGGCTCGGTGGGTGTTAGTATGGCCAGGGTTCTTCCGGAGGGTATCAATCAACGAGTACGGTGAAGGAGGGGGTGAGGCTCCTCCGCCCCCCCCACCGGAGAGCCTCTCGGAAGAGCCTCTAGGGTTTGCCGAAGTCACCGAAGAGCCCCTCGGAAGAGCTTTTGGGGCTTTCCGAAGTCACCGAAGAGCCTCTCAAAAGAGCCTCTGGGGCTTTCCGAAGAGCCTCGTGGGCTCTCCCAAGAGCTTCTTGGAGCCGCCGAAGAGCCGCTTGAAGCCGCCGAAGAGCCGCTTGGAGCCGCCGAAGGGCCTCTTGGAGCCGCCTCCCTCTTTCCCTCCTCAGTTCCTCTTTCCCTCTCTCCTTCCCCCTCTTTCCCTACGACGGCTACTACTACTACTACTACTACTACTACTACTACTACTACTACTACTACTACTACTACTACGACTACTACTACTACTACTACTACTGCTACTGCTACTGCTACTGCTACTGCTGCTGCTGCTGCTGCTGCTGCTACTGCTACTGCTACTACTACTACTACTACTACGACTACTACTACTACTACTACTACTACTACTACTACTACTACTACTACTACTACTACTACTACTACTACTACTACTACTACTACTACTACTACTACTACTAACTACTACTACTACTACTACTACTACTACTAACGACTACTACTACTACTAACTACTACTACTACTACTACTACTACTACTACTACTACTACTACTACTACTACTACTACTACTACTACTACTACTACTACTACTACTACTACTACTACTACTACTACTACTACTACTACTACTACTACTACTACTACTACTACTACTACTACTACTACTACTACTACTACTACTACTACTACTACTACTACTACTACTACTACTACTACTACTACTGGCCACTACTACGGCTACTACTACTACTACTACTACCACTACTACTACTACGACTACTACTACTATTACTTGTACTAGTACTACTAGTACTACTAGTACTACTAGTACTACTACTACTACTACTACTACTACTACTACTACTACTACTACTACAACTACTACTACTACTACTACGACTACTACTACGACTACTACTACTGTTGCTACTGCTACTACTACCAATACGACTACTGCGACTACTACTACAACTATTACTGCTGCTTGTGCCACTGTTACTGCGACTACTGCTACTACAACTGCTACCACCACTACTTCACGACTACGACTGTTACTACCACAACAAGAACTACTACTACTAGTTCTATGACCACTCGTAGTAGTAGTGTAGTAGTAGTAGTACTACTACTACCAGTAGTTCAACTATCGCTATTAGTAGTACCTCTACTACCACCACAACTACGATTACAAAGCATATTACTGCTACTACTACTACTACCACTACTACTGCTACTACTGCTACTACTACTACGACCACGACTACGACCACGACTACGACTACGGCTACGACTACTACTACTACTACTTTTACTACTACT